AGAAAACATCGGTCCTAGCGGAGGACCTGCTCTGAAACCATGTTAGAAAGTACGAAACAGGAATGAATGAACTAGCACAAAGTTGGGTACAAGTAGGAAACCCTAAGTTTGTGTACCCCCTAAGGCTAAACTCACTATAGCCTACACAATGTAAACATACAATGTTTGACACTCTTGGCACGGACGTCCTTGAGGACAGACAGGAGGAGTTTGAGTACTTTGCCGCTGCTTTACCTCATCTCGTGTCCATGCTGCTTGCCCCTGAGGGAGACCCGGATGCACCAGACATCCCGACCCCGCGCTCTTACGCAGAGGCGATAGAGGGTCCCTACTCCTCTCAGTGGCAGACAGCCATGGACACAGAGATGGCTTCCTGGAAGTCCACAGGTACCTACATCGACGAGGTCCCCCCGCCCGGGGCGAACATCGTCAGTGGCATGTGGATTTTCAGGGTGAAGCGGCCGCCGGGATCTCCTCCTGTCTTCAAGGCGTGTTACGTTGCACGAGGCTTTAGTCAGCGACAGGGAGTTGACTTCTTTCAGACCTTCTCCCCTACCCCGAAGATGACCACTCTTCGGGTGCTGCTGCACGTCGCCGCTCAGCGTGACTACGAGCTTCACTCTCTTGACTTCAGCACAGCCTTCCTACAGGGCAGCCTGCACGAGGAGATCTGGCTGCGCCGCCCACCTGGCTCCACTGGGTCGTTTCCTGCTGGTACCCAGTGGAGCCTCCGGCGGCCAGTCTACGGTCTCCGCCAAGCACCCCGTGAGTGGCACGACACACTGAGGACGACGCTTGCGGCTCTTGGGTTTGCTCCTTCCACTGCTGACCCGTCGCTGTTTCTACGCACCGACACCACTCTACCGCCGTTCTACGTTCTCGTGTACGTAGACGACTTGGCCTTTGCTACTGCTGACACTGAGGCACTCGCCCACGTGAAGTCGGAGCTGCAGAAGAGACACACGTGCACAGACCTGGGTGAGCTGACAAGCTATCTTGGCTTGCGGATCACCCGGGACAGAGCACTGCGCACCATTACCTTGACTCAGTCACACATGGTGCAGCAGGTCCTTCAGCGCTTCGGCTTCACGTACTCCTCGCCACAGTCCACTCCTCTGCCTACCGGTCACTCGCTCTCAGCTCCACCTTCAGACGAGTCCGTAGAGCCGAGTGGCTCGTATCCAGAGCTTGTGGGCTGCCTCATGTACCTGATGACCTGCACTCGACCTGACCTTGCATACCCTCTTAGCATTCTAGCACGCTATGTCGCTCCTGGCAGACACAGGAAGAAGCACATGGATGCAGCTAAGAGGGTGTTGCGCTACTTGTGCAGTAGGTCGGGCATGGGGCTCGTGCTTGGAGGACGGGCTCGAGTTGTCCTCACTGGTCACGCAGACGCTTCCTGGGCTGACGACTTGGCTACGCAGTGGCCGTTACAGGGTTACACCTTCAGTCTTGGCTCCGGCTCTGTCTCTTGGCGGTCTACCCGCTCGTCTTTTGTTCTCAGCTCCAGTTGTGAGGCTGAGATCTACGCAGGGGCCATGGCTGCACAGGAGTTACGCTGGCTCACCTACCTGCTGACCGACCTGGGAGAGCCGCCTTGTTCTCCTCCAGTGCTGTACGTTGACAACAAGGCCATGATTGCCTTGTGTCAGGAGCACAGACTGGAGCACAGAACGAAGCACATCGCTCTGCGTTACTTCCTTGCTCGAGATTTGCAGCAGCGTGGTCAGCTTCGTCTTGCTTACGTGGCCACTCGGGCCAACACTGCTGATGTCTTCACCAAGGCGCTTCAGCCTTGTGATCATCAGCGTTTCTGTACTGCTCTAGGACTTGTGCCTACTGTGCCTCACTTGCTTACTTCTTGACTCTGCTTGTACTGTGATCTCTATACATATACCTGCATGCTTACACTTGCAAGGTTGTGATCACTGTATTGCTTGTTCTCCTTTATCTAACTCTGCATGTGAACTGGCCTTGTGGCCATTTGCTTGTGCTCAGAATGCGTGGTGACGTCGTGATCCACCCTGAGCTTGCTTTGCCTTTCTTGACCGGTCTTGTGACCTCTTGTTCTCCCCCACTTTGCCTATGGGGGTGTGTCAAACTTATATGCTATGGTCTGTGTAGGCTGTAGTGGGGTAGTTCATATAGGGTACAACACTTTTAGGTTTCCTACTTCTACCCACCTGCTTGCTAGTTCAGTCATTCGTTCCTTCACTATTCTGACACCTGCTCCCGCCCCTGTTACACATGATTCGATGGATGGGGGCCTCGTGGTCAGAAGCCACGCCTGCGTCGGTCCATGTTAGCTGGTGGCGTGCCGGATGTGTACCGGCATCATGGCGACTCGCCATCCGCGCGTACAAGAACCCATTACTTAGCGTACTGTCTGAACCACTGGTGTTGGAGCTGGGTCAGCTGCAGTGGCTAATAGACGAGTTCAGGCCTCGCGGCGAAGGCCTCATTCATGCCACTGATTAGGCCCATTGCGAGCAGCTGCTGATACCCCCACGCGTTGAGCGCGTCGGTAACGAGACGCTCGTCACTGTGGAAGACCCCGTCATAACGCTGAACACTCAGCCTGGCCCGCTAATTAGTGACTACCGTTGTCGCAGACGCGTTGCACGCGTGGTCTCCGAACTACTTGTCCGTCAGGCCCTCTCTATCGGCATACAAGTGCGCGACGCTCCTGAACGGTTTGGTGCGTCGAACGCCAAAGTGGTTAGTCGTCTTCGCCGTACTCCTACTAAACGTCCCCGATAGTCAGCTGCGACTGTCATCTAAGAACCTCGATGTCGCCTGGTGCTTGACACGCTGCGGTAAGATGCGCACGCATAGTACGATAGCTAGTTAACGTGCTACCACTAGTGTGCCGAGAATCATGTAAGGGAGTGTTTAACCTTTGTTCATACTGCGCCAGTACGATTGAGAAGGACCACTCGAAAGTATTATTCGGAAACATCTCGTAAGGCATTGCGAGTATCATATTTAAACATTATAACGAGACTGTGTAAGGCGAAAATTTGTGGATAGGGTTTGGTGGCCACACAGGACCCCGGAACCATTCTACCGCTCTCAACCACAACATTTTTGTATGATGGCATGCAGCCGAATGTATGCCAACGCACAATATTTAGTGTTTATCATTCGGCGCGCAGAACCGCATACGTCACATCACACCGCATGCAGTGAGACCGTGAATCTACATGCATAACCACACCCTGGTTTACAATGAGCAGATGACAAGGGCAATCAAAGCATGACACGTGTGACGCCCGCGCGGAGCTGGTGTTCCGCGCCAAAACGAAGAAGCTGTATTTGGCGCGCTGTGTGACTCACTGGTTGCCATGTACATCTTTCCAGTTCCTGTCAACCCACAGACGCAACCATCTGCGCGCACTCCCTTCTCTAGTATATTCTTCCGTTAGTCCGTGCGGATCTCATTTGTGGTTTCAGCGGCAGATCTATCCGCCTCTTAGCAGCGGAAGTCCTCTAAGCTAGCGTCATAGCCTGCAAGTGCACACGATGAACATACAGCATATGCTGGTGCAGAGAGGCCACTCTTCCGGCGCCGCCAGTTGCGTGACACATGTGAAGTCGGAGCATGTGCGCCGTCAGCGCAAAGTGAAGAACGAGCCCCCAGCTGAGCGCCGTGCTTCGCCCCGTACTGGTCGAAGGGTATCATCGGCCGCCAGCTGCGTGCAGGGGTCCGGAGCGCCAACACCACCGCCGCCGGATGATGTTGTTTCTCGCCTGAGGAACCCCAACTATCAGCACGATTTCCAGACGTTGGCGCTGTACGGTCCCCATGAAGTGGGATGTCAGCTGGTTGCCCAAGACGTTCTCACCCTCGCGGACGGCGAGTGTCTGGCGGACACCGTTGTAGACTTCCACAACATGTGAGTGTTTAAAGATTTGTACGACTGCATGGTTACTGACTGGAATTTCCCGTCATTGATTACGCGAATCAAACGAGTGTTTTGTGTTTCAGCCTTCTAAACATTCGTCATCCGAAGCTCGAGGGTGGAAAGACATGGTTCGCTCTCGATACGAAGGCCTTCGTCTACGCGACCTCACTGAACAAGGCGTGGCCGCTTGGGCATGCACCATGTATCTTCGCGCATGACTACTTGGCCATCCCCGTCTATTACGAGTACGTATTGGTTGGAGTACCGTGGTAGAAATATTAGGGTTGTGATGTTGTTTTTAAAAAAATCTGATGTACGACTCTTACTACGTCCGATTTTATTACACTGCAGGGGCCACTACTCCCTTGTGATCGCCATGACCCTTGGCGGCATGGTCAGCGGCAAGCTTTCAGAGAGTGTTGAGGACAACGTTGAGCTGGTGCATTACGATAGCGCGTCGTTGCACACCAAGAAACCGGAAGTGATGGAAGGGGTCAAGAAGTGAGACATGCTCACGTTGTCCGTTGTCGTTCGGCTAGTTATAGTATTAACTGTTCTAACATCCTGACCGTCAACGATCTATGCAGGATGTTGCTCATGCTTCATACCGCTCAACTGCCGACTGCTGACCGGAAGCAGGCCAAGAACAGCCTGGACTGTGCCGAAATCACGATCATGCACGTGAGTACAGCGTATATGCTGTTGTAGCTATGTGCCTTCTGAAGTGCGATTCTTGTGCTGGCGTTTCGTCTTACGCGTCTTGTATGCTCCGTTTGGCAGCCTGATGAAATCCCGACCCAGTCGAACTCTGTCGACTGTGGGATATACGTGTGCATGTATCTCCATGCACTGGTGTCATGCGGCTTCATCATCATCAAGCAGTGGATGACGTTCTAATGTCAAAAGTCGCACACCTACAGGCGGCGGTTACGGGAGGAGGTGTCGCTGCACTCCACAGGTGACCTTGTCGTCAGGCTTTTTGGAGAGGGCGTAGAGGTTCCCTCGCAGCCGCTCCCCCGGTTGGGTGAGTTTGGGGCCCTAGTGTTTCCGAAGGAAGACAAAGTGCGTACCGACCTGGCACGGCAGTCCGGCATGATAACCCGGGTGGAGCTTGGGGCTTACGTGGTATGTGCGGCAGTGACCAGCCTGGCACGCTCGTGTGGGATATCGGATGAGCAGCTGCTAAGCGGTGCAGCCCACGAGCTCCAGACCCACGGGACTCCTCTACTGTCGTCCTCTGTGTCAAAGAACCAGGTGGATCACGCGGCATCGATGAAGACGCTCGCCAGCTCCATCCATGCAACACCATGCCCGCTGCAAGTGCCATCGTCAGCAGAGGCTAAAGCCGATGTTACCTCTCCTGGTCAGAGGCCCGGGTCACCACCTGAAGCAGTGCCCACGAAGGAGGAACCTGAGAATCCCACGGCTCCAGTGACACCGGAAGCACCAGGTAGGCTTGGTCGGACTCGAAGGGCCAGCAGTCGTCTGGGAGGAAGGGAGGAATCGCACACAGTGCGCCAGATCAGTATGCATTCCGCGTACGGCAATCGTCCTGCTTCAAGCCGGTGGACCGGGGTGAGTTGGTGTCCCCGTGGCCGTAAGTGGGGGGTGAAGATGGTGTGCGGGCCCGGTAAGGGACAACAGATCAGGCTTGGTGCGTACAACGTAGAGGACGATGCGGCATATGCATATGCCGCAGCTGCGTACGTGATCCGGCGCAAGGATCACATCCAGCACATGAAGGTGCTGACTGATGCAGAGATGGCAGCGCTGGATGGGTGTGTCAGGTCGGATGTGAGGCACCTTGTGAAGGTCCGTCTGTGGTGGAGGTGGCGCCAGTGGAGGACAGCTATGGCAGAAGTGGGCATTGCACCTGGTACGCCCTTCCCTCTCGAAAATGGAGGTTCCCGCTTGCCTGCTAACAGCAACGGTGATGACGAAGGGGAGTACCCGCTGACACAGATAGAGGAGGCCGTTGACGAGGAGATGCAGGAGCCAGAGCTGGGGTAGGAGCGTCTTTTATTACGCTTGCTCTAAGCAGGCGTACGCATGACCTGCTGTATGATCTCATGCAGGATAGGATCCATGGCACCTAGCCTGCTTGTTGAGACGTTAACCTCCGAGTGGTAAACGTGTGTGCATGCTAGTTGTTGTATTACCCTTATGTGTAAGCAAGTGAATAGGAGTATAGAGTAAATGTGTACATAAGAGCAATACATTTACTGCTTTGCCTATGTTCTCATGTAGTTAACCCACAAGTGACGTTGCATGTGTTGTGCACTATGTCTGCTGTAAAGTGTACTGATGTTTGCATGTTAGAGAGGCACGGACTCGACGCCGTATCGAGGGCTGTGGATAATGTTGGGTACATCGAGTGCCAAGTGTGCAAACCCAGCTAATGACGAAACTAGTCTGGCAGCCAGGGGCGAGCCACGTGAAAGGAGTTGTGGCAGAGCAGAGGTCAGGATGTGTCACTTACTGCGTAAGTACCCAATGGACACACTCCTGCCCACACGATTTGTGTCGATGGACAGTTTTACCGCTGGACCAGTCTCGTCCCGTGAGGGGAGGAGTCAGCGCGTGTCCCAGCCTCCAACTTACCTGAAGAACTCTTACCTTCTGCCTGGCACAGTTAGGCGTCAAGTGACGAAGAAACTTCGTTTGTCCCTTCCGAAAAAATGTCAATGCGCCGCAGATACAACGGCCACCTCCATCTCCCCCAGGTAAGTCGCCGTGCTTTATGGAGTGGTATTAAATACCGTTGTTTAATTATGTGCGCTGCAATGCTTGCGGCCAATATAACGGTACTAATCTGGTGTCGTCACATTTACATGATGCAGCTGTGACTCCCTCCCATGGGGGCGGAGACTCGGGTATGTCACATGGCAGCACGTCCGAGGGTAGCTTGTCAACCGCACGGTCCAGCCAGCAGGACGAGGAGGATGCTGCGGAAGGCGAGTCGTCGCGCCGCCGGCGCAAACGCAACGTCAACGAAGTCCTCAATGGGTCCGCGCCCGTGGAAGGCGAACCCGAATCTCCGACAGCTCAATCCTCGGATGACAATCCCAATGAGGCCCTCCCGAGGCTCAACCCCGTGAGGAGCAACGACGAAGATGCTGCGGAAGCCGAGGACGATGCAGAAGCAGGCGACCATGAGGAGGACGCTGGCGCGGAACGTGAGCATGAGGAAACGCCGGTGACGCGGGAGGAGATGACCAGTTTGCGCGAGCTGCAGGAAGCTACTGCACGTGCAATTGCAAGGCTGGAGTCTGCGTTTCTTGCAAAGCCTGCTGGTGACGGCGAACTACCGAGAAAGAGGCGTCAAAAGCGCACATCGGGCAAGGGAAAGCGACGTAAGGCGCGCCGTACACGATCGACGTCGGAGACGACGTCCGAGGATGAGGAAGAGGTAGATGAAGGATTGGAGGGTCACATTCGATCGTCACCTGCAGCGATTCTGCAAGAGGCTCTTAGTCTCCTGCCTGCCGACAAGGGATGGAAGGTATGCGGCACTTGATGCTCGCCTAATGTGTTTACTTTGCGCCTTTGCATGTTGTGTAACAAGTGGGCCAGTTGATGATGTGCCACTTTTTCCGTGCGTGCAGGAAATATGTGAGCAGGCTCGCGTCCATCTTTTCATCCGGCGTCCCAAAAAGCATCTGACGTTCTACCTGAGCAGCGCCGCCAAGACCTGGGGCATATGCGCAGTCGTTGATAACCTCACTGTCAACTACGAAAGCCTTGCACTCGCGGCCGACAAGGCACGTCGGGTCGACTTCAACAGGTCTCTCAGCGACTGGAAAACGGGTGCGGCTGGGAGGGTCCGCGACATCTCGCTCCCCAAGATAGGGCTGTTTCGCGACGAGCGGGACGCGAAAAGCCCCTGGGCGGCACCCTCCATGCGCACACTGGCGAGGGTCCAGGATAGGGTCGGCCTCGGAGACGTAGAGCCGGGTACGATCATTGCCCCCGTACTTCTCACGCTTTGGTTGACAGTGATTGTGATCGCCTAGCGTCTAATGCGTGCACATTACGTGTGTGTCTAATGCTGCAGAGAGGTTGGCACTCTCTCGCTGGAGCTACGACCGTAACGGGATTCCCTTCGCGTCGGGCGCATTTACAGCATGCGCACGGGCGGCGTTCAAGCCAAGGATGGTGAACGGGACAGTGACGCTGAAGCTGTACCACGTGGCCTGGCTAGAGCACGTGGTATGAAGGCAACAGATACTATTTAAATGGTCTGGTTCGCCTCGATGGGATTCTCATACGCGCGAATTTGTGCTATGTTGTGCGCAGGTGACAGATGCAATCCGGAACTGGGATGCGCGCAAGGGCCGCCTCTCAAACTCCGCCGGACTAACGTGCAGATCGTGGACGGCCTCCACGTCCTTGTGAAGGGCGCTGTTACCCGGGCCATCGCTGAGTTCAGGCCCGAGTACGATGCGGCGTCTCAGACGTGGGCCTGGGGCCGCCATGGTCTCCGCATCTCTGCAGACGGCATCGCGGTCAGGAGGACCGAGAGCGCCCAAGCTAGCGCCAGCCGAGGGACTCCGCAAGCATAAGCGAAGAAGGGGCTCGCCGAGCCGTTAGTCATCCGCCACGACGCTAACTAACACGAAATTACGCATTGAGGAGTTATTTTGCCTAAAGTGCGGGGGTTTGTGTATGGGCGATGAGAATGCTTGTGGAGTGCGTAGATTGAAGATGTAATTGAAGCAGGATCTAAGCTGCACTTTCGGATCTGGTCAGATTCAGTCGCACATATACATCGCGTACACAGACCCAAATGCATGTTGACTCCACGGTATTCATAACCCAAAGAACCATACCGCGGAACGCCTCATGCTAGGGATGCGTAACGGCCAATAGTAAACCTCAGATGTGGTTTGGTGGCTCGACGTAGAGCCATTGGATGCCGTGAGATGATGAAAGCGGTCCGGGCATCACAGACGTTTACAGCCGTGGATGGAGGAACCGCGGTGCTACCTCAGCCGTCGATGTGTGGTATTGTGGACGGTAGAATGTATGCCAGGTGGAGAAAAAATCCGAGCGGGTCATATGGTTTAGGCCGTACACGTCGGCGAGAGTCAACGGCATCCCGGGTGTGAACACGTTGCGAAATTCAACGTGGGATGGGGGGCGTGGGTGGTGCAGTAGCATCATGCACACAGTAGTGAACGGTCGGATCTCGATATGCATGGGTCGGCCGATAAAAGAAATGTAAAATCGCAGCCGTACAGGTGGTCATTTTTCGACGTCATCTGGCGTGTACACGTAGGGGGGCAGCCAGATGCAGATTCAACTTTCAACAAATTAGGAGCAAGCGTGTGTCACAAATGGTGCATTGGCATTGGGTACGGGCTATAAAAACGGAGGGCGAGGATACGTTGCAGTGTTGATCCTCGTCGTTCACGTACAGATATGTGATTGGGAGTTGCGTGTTCCGAAGCGCGCACAACTGTACAGTGTTGTAACTTGGGGGTTGACACGATGACGTAATGCTCGCCAGATGTCGGGTCGATATAAAAAGAAGACAAATTGTGACAGTTGGCGGAGCGCGCATTGGCCTCCAGCAAGGTCACGCTGGCGTAACCCTAAGCGTGACGTAGCCATAACATTTGCGTCACTTTGAAAGTGACGTCATTGTGACTTCAATGTGACATTTTCGTGATTTTTTCGTCACTTTCTAGGTGACGGGAACCCCGGTACTTCCAACCATCACCTTTTTGTCCCAGAGTTCGGTATACATAAAAGTCACAGAAAAGTCACAATTCCGTCACTTTCGGCACTTGTCTTTTCCGCGATGGGGAGGCCGTCCCCTGCTTCCCCTGCCGCTGCACTCCCCGCCCCGTCCTTTCCCTTTGCCGTCTCCCCGTGCCTTTCCGACTCCAACGCCTCTTTCGCCGCTGCGCCCTTCGCCGCTTCGCCTTTCGCCATCGCGCGTTTCAGTTCGTCAACTTCCTTCTTGAGAGCAGCCATGGCCTCCTCCTGCTGCGCCAGCTTCGCCGCTAACTGCTCTACTCGCGCCTCCACTCCTCCTGCTGTCTCCCTCACCATCCCACCCACGACCTCCCCCAGTCGCACCTTCACAAGCACCCCGCTCAGCATCCGCGCCATGCCTCCTTCCATCGCCCTTATCAATCGCGATCGTACGAAAGTCGAATCAGAAAGACAAAGTGTTGTCGAACAGTATGACTGGTGGGCCAAGTGCTACTAGGGGCGTAGGCGGTTTGAATTGATTATTGTTGGCTTGCCTGGCTTTTCTGGAGGATAAGAGTAGTTCGTGCCGAATAATCCGGGAATGACAGTTATGACAAGTCAGCGAATGCCTTGAACAATGCTTGTCGTGCTGAACTGATTGTTACCAGACGGAGTTGTTTCAGCCCAGCAAGTTTGATTACGAGGCTCGCATGCTTTCGTGTTAGTCGCAAAACACCTTCATGTGCCCCTATTTTGAGTTGAGCAATATGCAGCAGCATCTTCGATTGAGTGACGCGTCTCGACTCGAATGAAGGACGCTGCGCTATGCATCCCGTTTTTTTCGGGTTGCAGATTGTTATGAAAGAGTACAGCACTAAAGAGGTAAAAACAATAAATATGTGTAACTGTGTTAAAGGTTTTTTTTTCGATATTCCTTACCGCGTATCTCCACATTGCGTACAAGCCCGACCATTTCTCGTGATAACGGTGCTTCTCCGCCTTAGCGCGCCACATTTCCCAAACACGCACTGCTGGATTAGCCCGAGTCCGCCTACGAGGCTAGCCCAAACCTCGCTGACACCATCGCACTAGCTAGCTCGCACGCACCACGTTATAGTTTGCTGTTTTTTATGGAATTGTTACGAATAGAGAATTATCCGAAGCTCACTGTGCACTCCTGACAGTAGCAAACAAGCCACGCAGTAAAGAGTACGAAGACGAAGGGGCGCAATGACGCGAAGAGTCGCGCACGGTTAAGAAGCATCTGGACCGTCAGGGCAGACAGCATCAGGCAGCGGCAGTGGCGAGGA